ATATGCTTTGGTCAGCGCTCTTACCAGTTTTTTTAGGGGGAGGGAGAAGGTTGTGTGTGTTTGTATGTGTATGCGTGTGTATGTGCATGCTAGAGGTGCACCTTGGATTTCATTCCTTGGGTACTGTTTACCTTGGTTTGGGGTTTATTGTTGTCATAAAGATTTTATTTAATTTTGTGTGCGCCTGTGTGCGTGTGCCTGTGGAGGCAGGGGCAGTGTTCAATTCCCTGAAGTTAACTTTGCAGGTGGTTATGGGTGCTGGGAATTGAACTTCATAAGAGCAACCATTGCTCTTAACCACTGAGCCGTCTTCCCAGCCTCAAATCTCAGCTTCTTTGGTCTTGTTATTCTCCTCTATAAAATGCGGACAAAGGGGGCTGGAGAGATGACTGAGATTATGAGCACTGGCTGCTCTTCCAGAGGTCCCGAGTTCAATTCCCAGCACCCACATGGTGGCTTACAGCCATCCGTAATGAGATCTGGGTCTCTCTCCTGGGGTGCAGGCATGCATGCAGACAACACCATATACATAATAAATAATCTTTTTTAAAAATGTGGACAATTAGCACACTGCCTTGAGAAGCCTGCTTGGGTATGTTTTACTTTCTGTGATTCTTTTAAAGCCCACACCCATGCTCTTTGTGCTCCTCTTCTTGAGAGCCTCTCTCTTAACCCTTGTGCTTAAGCCTAATTGGAATATCTTATTAAATCCCAACTTTGCCTTATTAAAAAACAATTTAAAAATGGTAATAGCACCAGTTGAATAGGGCCGGTTGGGAGTGAATGAGCTATTGTGTTGTAGACGTGGTGGCACGGGGTCAGTGCTTGCCCAGGCACCCTTGGGCTGACTGTCTGCTCTACTGTGCACTGGGCCTGGGCTTCTGTAGTAGCCAGGTAGCTGGCTGGGCCTTGGTTTTCATGTGTGTCCAATAGGGTGGGTGCACAGTCTAAGCCTGTTGTAGGAGCTGGGGGAGTCAGCTGTGGAGAAGGAGCCAGCCTTCCAGTGATCCCAGGGTCATCTGCAGGTGAGGCTGGAGCTGTCCACATCAGTGGAGGAGGGATTGGTGGTGCCAAGAAGGTTACATTGTGTGCAGCAAGACCTTGGGGGGAAGGAGGGAGCCATGGGAGTGTGAGGGGGAGAATGTTCCAGGCTGAGGCATGGCTGGAACACAGGCCCTGAGCTGAGTGTGCCAGGGGACTCTAGACGCTAGTGGTGGAGACTAAGGGAAGTCAAGTGTGGAGGGAGTAGGAACAGGGGCCCTGCTTGTAATGGTGCTACAGGATGTGGTACAGAGTGGATGGGTAGATGATGGGCGGATAGATGAATGGGTGGGGCTAGGAAGGCAGGCCATCTTACATCACAGCGGGAGCTGTTTTGGCGATGCTTACCCCACCTGTGGCCCTGGCAGAATTAATGAGCTGCTCCCATTTTCCTCTGCAGCCTCAAAGCGGAGGGTCCCCGTGTCCCAACCAGGCATGGCTGATCCCCACCAGTTTTTCGATGACACGAGTTCAGCCCCGACTCGGGGCTATGGAGGCCAGCCGTCACCTGGTGGTCTGGGTTACCCCTCCCCTTCCTCCTCACACGAGGCACCCTTCCTGGCTGACCCTATGTCCAACATGGCAATGGCCTACGGGAGCAGCCTGGCTGCTCACGGCAAGGAGCTGGTAGACAAGAATGTGAGTAGGGCCGGGCGGCCGGGCGGCCGGGCTGCGGGTGGGGGGTAGGCAGGGGCCACAGGGCCTCAGGCTTGAGCTTTGCCTCCCCAGATTGACCGCTTCATCCCCGTCACCAAGCTCAAGTATTACTTTGCGGTGGACACCGTGTACGTGGGCAAGAAGCTGGGCCTGCTTGTCTTTCCCTACCTACACCAGGTCAGCACCAGCGGCCCAGCACCTGCCTGGAGGCAGGGTGTGGGGAGCTCACTCTGGGTCCCTGACATCCCCCAATTCTCCCACAGGACTGGGAGGTACAATACCAGCAGGATACCCCGGTGGCCCCCCGCTTCGACATCAACGCCCCAGACCTCTACATTCCAGGTTGCGCCTTCGCTCCACTGCCCGAGCATGTCTGGCACAGACGTTTGGGTTTCCCTCTTCTGACGAGTGTCTGTCTTTCACAGCCATGGCTTTCATCACCTACATCCTGGTGGCCGGCCTCGCACTGGGGACCCAGGACAGGTAAGGATCCTGGAGCTGGGCAGTGGGGTGGGGATGTGAGGCCAAGAGTTGGCCGAGACAGTTGTCCCATCAGTGAGTGACATCCTTCATGAAGTCCAGTGTGCCCTTTTGTGCTGGGTGACCTTAATTCACCCTTCCTTCCTTTCGGCCTCCACCCACAAATCTGTCCTTACGTTCACAGTCCCCTAAATGCCCCCCCCACCCTTGCTCTAAGAGGCGGTCCCGGCCTTCCCGCTCTCGCTCGATGTCCCGCTGCTGCTTCTCAGAGCTTTGCATACCCAGTTGGTGTGTTGACTCAGGAAATGGGCTCTTCCCCTCCATGCTACGATGACCTCCAGGCTCTGAGTCTCTGCCTCTCACTCCCAGCTACCTGCTCCTTCCCCTTGAGGCACTGAACTCAGTAGAACCAGTGGATTCATTGCTAATCCTCCAGCTAGAGCAGAGACGGAGGTCTGACTCTGCAGGCTTCGGCCCAGCGTCCTTTCTTTAAGGAGGAACCCTCCCGGTACCCCTCGCAGGGCCCAGGGCTCCCCCAGATCCTTGCTGGCGGTCCCTGCTCCATCCATGTCCAGTGGCCAGCAACACAGGCCGCTCCAGGGGATGTTCAGGGGATGCCCAAGCCTCCAGCCCCATGACAGAGCAAGTGTGGCTGTCACTTGTGTGTGGCAGGTTCTCCCCAGACCTCCTGGGACTGCAGGCGAGCTCGGCACTGGCCTGGCTGACCCTAGAGGTTGTCGCCATCCTGCTCAGTCTCTACCTGGTCACCGTCAACACCGACCTCACCACCATTGACCTGGTGGCCTTCTTGGGCTACAAATATGTCGGGTGAGTGCCTCTACCTTGCCTGCCAGTCTCAGCCTTGGCCTCGTCTTCAAACCACTTTCTCCCCCACTCTCAGGATGATTGGTGGGGTCCTCGTGGGTCTGCTCTTTGGGAAGATTGGCTACTACCTGGTGCTTGGCTGGTGCTGTGTGTCCATCTTTGTGTTCATGGTGAGTGGGGCTTTCAGGGGTGGACAAGACTGAGCCCAGAGGCCTCCTGGACAGACCGGGGAGTCTCCAGAGCATCCGCTTAGAGCTAGCAGAGTCAGAGTGCTGAACCGGGAGGCTCAGAGCGTCCACACCTGGGGGCTAGGAGCCCCCCTGCAGGAGGCAAGAGCAAGAACCAGTCAGGAAGCTGGGGCCGGGTTGCCTGGTCCAGAGGCTCTGGGTTCGATACTCACCCTTACTCCTGTTCCTATATCCTGGGCCCTCTGCCAGCATGCCCCCGGAGGAGACTGAGTCCTTCCAGTGCCGATTAAGGGCAGTGGTAACTGCCACGCTTAGGTTGGCCCCAGGCTGTGCTCAGGGTGAATCATTTCCTCAACTTAGCCTGTCTTCCTTTGTAAACGGCTTGCCTCCTGACTGCACCTCCGGGTCTTGGGTTTAGTCCCGGTGTGAGTGGGAAGCAGGGAACAAACACTGGCATGGTGGGTGACTCTGACCCACCTGGGAGATGGCTCCGTAGTAAAGAAGACCTGAGTTAAATCCTTAGACTCCACATTAAACAAACAAAAAGAGTTGGCAGTGGTGGCGCACGCCTTTAGTCCCAGCATGTGGGAGGCAGGGGCAGGGGGATCTCTGTGAGTTCCAGGACAGCCAGGGCTACACAGAGAAACCCTGCCTCAAAAAAAAAAAAAACTGGGGGGGGGGAGCCAGGACTGGAGGTATACCCCTATAGTCTCAGGGCTGGGGGATGGGAAGACACTGATCTGCCAGCCTGGCCTGCTTGGCAAGTGCCTGGTTAATGATAAGCCCTATCTGAAAAAAAGAAAAGGCAAAATGTAGACACCCAAAGGTGTCCTCTAGCTTTCACAAGTATGTGTACACACACAAACATCCCAAAACTGAGCACCGGGGCCTGGGAGATGGCTAAGCAAGTAAAGGGCTCTTGCCTGACCACCTGAGTTCTATGCCGGGAACCCGCAGAGTGGAAGGAGGGAACCGACTCCGACAAGTTGTGCTAACTTCCATACCAGAGCTCAGATGCTCTAACCCCACACAACAAATACATGAGTGATTCAGGGCTGTAACTCCAGCACTGAGGACATTGAGGCAAATGGATCCCCACAAGTCTGAAGCCAACATGGTCTACATAAAGGGTTCCAGGCCAACCAGGACAACATCAAGATCTTGTGCCCCCCTCCCCAAATAAGAGAACGCACCTGAGCATAAGTAAAAACAAAAAGAACTCTCCTATCTTGTCTTGAAAATGTGTCTGTCTTCTGGGGCTGGGAGTGTCATTCAGCGGTAGGGCTCTAGTCTAGGGTGGGTGAGGACCTGCCTTGCATGAGGGAAGGCACTATCTAGGCGGAAGCCGCTAGGCCACGCCCTTCGCTTGAACTACATCCTGAGTCTCTCCTGGCCTTTGCTTCTAGAACCCGCAGTGGTTTGCTCACAGGGCCTGGGGAAGTAGCCATTAGGCAGACCCTTCTAAGAGCGCAAGCTGGAGGCCGCAGAGGCAGGGACCCTCACGCTGACCCATGTTGCCCCTTGCTACGCAGATCCGGACGCTGCGACTGAAGATCCTAGCCCAGGCGGCAGCCGAAGGGGTTCCCGTACGCGGAGCGCGCAATCAGCTGCGCATGTACCTGACCATGGCAGTGGCGGCTGCGCAGCCGCTACTCATGTACTGGCTCACCTTCCACCTGGTACGGTGAGCAGCCAGCCTGACCTCCAGCTGCCACATTCATCTCGCCCGACCCGGGCCCCTGCTCTCCAGGCCCGCGCCCCTCCCTCCCAGCCAAGGTGCTCTTGTAGCTGCACAACCGCAACAATAAATCTGATGGGTTCAGCGTGGCCTCCGCTCCTGATCGGCAGGGGGCGCTGGGGAGCGGGGCGGGCTGCAAGCTTTAATAAGTCAGTGGGGGGCCTTCTTCTCCTTCTTTTTCTTCTCCTTCTTCACCTTGGGTTTCTTGGCCTTGTCCGAGGAGCCTTCATGCTTGCGGCCAGTGGCGTGCTTCTGGAGGGCCGGGGACGGTGGACAGGAGAGAGAAGAGGTGGCCGGGTTGGAAGCGGAACTGGACCTGCCCCACCCACGGCGACAAGGATCCTAACCGGATCCTGACTGTGGCGGCGCCTGAGTCTGGGGTGCGTGAGAACATCCAGGGAGAGGGGCAGCCTCTTACCTTTCCCTCTGTCTCTGAGTCGCTGGAGCTGCTGCTGCTGCTGGAGTCGGAGGAGCTGCTGTGTCCATGCTAGATGCAGGGGGCGAGGAGGGGGGTGACGGTAAGGGCAGGACCTGCTCATGCAGCTTCCAACCCAAGCTGGAAAGCTGAGGTGTGGCCGAAAACCCAGGACAGAAACCAGTCGCTATCCTGGGCCCTCGGGGCGGGACGCGATGCCAGGTGGTGAGGTGACTTACCTTCGGCTTGTGAGCAGCGCCTGCCTCTGGCTGGCCCGGAGCTTTAAGAGGACAGTGCTTGGGGTTTCCCACTTGACCTCCCTCAGGCTTCTTAGAACCAGGGCCCAAGGCTGCAGAGACAGAGGTTAGATGGGTTGTGCAGGCAGCCGGGCGAGCCCTTTGGTGGGAGTTCTTGGATTTGAGTCCGGCCCCCACCTCTCACCGCGAACCCACCATCCCCGGGAGCGTACCTGCAGCCAGGTCGAACTCCATGGCGATGATGGCTCTGGAGGGTCAGAAGGCTTAGGCAGTGCCTGGGGCAGGGGTGGGGCCGTGTGACCTGCCCACCTGAAGAATTCTGCAAGCGCCACCCTCTGGACCTTTGTGCCCACTTAGGTCTCAGGCCCTGACTCACTGCACTGCCGTTCCCAGCCTCACCCAGACTTTCCTCTGTGGGAAGTGGGGGTGGGGTGGCTGTAGGTCTCTGGGGGAAGGGTTGAGACCTGTCACGAATTACCCGCTTCGCGGGGGGGGGGGGGCTTGCTTTGAAAGAGTCCTCCCGGTACCCTGAACAAAGTGAACCCTGGCAGCGGATGAGCCTCTGTTCCCGGCCCCTCTGGCCTGGGAAAAGTACTGTCTGAGGGATTCGGAGCCCAAGCTAGAGCAACATGGTGGTAGCTGTGGGGGGGCCTCAGCGAAACTGCACCCTGGGGTGACGGTGGAAGGCAAAGGCAGATGGGTTAGATTCCTAGACGGGTGGCTGGCGGAGGAAGTGCTTGTGAAATGTGTTGCGTTGTTTTGATAAAGACAGGTGCCTTAATTTGAGCTGTTAAAACAAACACAGCAGGTAAGTGGCTGAAACAGTAATTTAACCTTGTAGTTGTTGAGGCAGGCGGGGAGCTTCACCCACGTCAGGCGTAGGCAGAGAGAGGTCCCTAGTATGGAGAAGGCCTGCTTCCTGAAAAGTTACCTTAGCTTTTCTTTTCTGTTTGTTTTTCGAGTCAGGATTTCTCTTTTTAACAGCCCTGACTGTCCTGGAACTCCATTTATAGACCAGGCTGGCCTGGAACTCACAGAGATCTGCCTCTGCCTCCCTGCTAGGATTAAAGTAGTGTACCACCACTGCCCAGATTTTTTAAAAAATAGGGCCACTATAGATGTTTGTGAGCCACCATGTGGTTGCTGGGAATTGAACTCAGGACCTCTGGAGGAACAGCCAGTGTTTTGTTTTTTGGGTTTTTTTTTTTTTTGTTTGTTTGTTTTTCAGACAGGGTTTCTCTGTGTAGCTTTGGAGGCTGTCCTGGAACTTTCTCTGTAGATCAGGCTGGTCTCGAACTCAGAGATCTGCCTGCCTCTGCCTCCCGAAGGCTGGGACTAAAGGCGTGCACCACCACTGCCTGGCTTCAGCCAGTGCTCTTAACCACCGAGCCATCTCGTCAGTTCTGTCTTGGCTTTTCCTATGTCTGGATGTAGGCGCTAATCCCACCCAGGAGTGTCACTCTCAAGGTCCCATTACCTTCAAAAGACTCTCACATTTAGGACGACTGGACTTCACCATCTAACTCTGTTAGACACAAACATCAGTCCTAACCTGGGCGTATCGGTGCAGGACTGTAATTCTGCTTCTCAGGAGGATGTAAAGCTCTGCTCTAGCCTGGGCTAACGGAGTGCTGGCCTGGTGGCACACACCTTTAACCCTGCCTGAGAGGCAGGCAGAGATCTGAATTCAGACCTGTCTGCTCTACAGAAGGAGTTGTGTGATAGCCAGGGCTCTAGCCGCCTCAAAAACATGAGTTCTGGTGAGGTGGCCCATTGGGTACAGACACTTGCCAAGGCTAATGAGTTCAGTCCCCAAGACTCACCTGGAGAAGAGACGTAGCTCCTGCAAGCTGTTTTTGGACTTCCTCAGATGCGCATCCAGACACGTGCACACAAAATAATAAAATGATTATAACAGAAATATGACAAACAGAACGCCCACTCATATCTGCAGAAGTGAGCCTCTGGGTGGGAACAGGTGGCGGCTTCAGGGATGGACAAGCATGCACCACCCCAGATGCCTGCTTAAATGTCAGTTTGCAGAAATGCCTGCCTTGGCTGCTGCAGGTCCGTCATTCCAGCACATGCTTGGTGCTTACCATTACCTGAAATACTTTTTTTCCCTTGTTTTTTTGAGTCAGAATTTCTCTGAATTTGAGGTCAGCCTGGTCTACAGAGCAAGTTCCAGGACAGCCAGTGCTACACAGAGAAACCCTGTCTCAAAAAATCATGGGGGGGGGGGGAAAGCCCATGGACTCCAGTCTGAGAGCCGGGAGACCCAGCACAGGACTGACCCAGATTACCTGAATGTGGGTGTCAAGTTAGGAGGACTAGGCGGTCTGTGGGGCCTCTGGTGGATCAGTATCTATCCCTAGTGTAGGAATGGACTTGGGGAGCCCGTTTCACATAGAGGGTTACTCGCACAGCCTAGACACATGGGGAAGGGCCTGGGCCCTGCTCCAAATGATATGACAGACTTTGAAGACTCGCCATGGAAGGCCTCACCCTCCTTGGAGAGCAGAAAGGGGATGGGATGGGGTGAGGGGAACAGGGGAGGACGGGAGGGTGTGGGAACTGGGATTGACATGTAAAACAAACTTGTTTCAAATTTGAATTAAAAAAATAAAAACATGAAGATAGGAAGGGTTGAGGTCCAAAGGCCTTCAGGCAGGCAGGGACGCTGTCCAAGGACACGAGAACGGGGAGATAGGAGGGGAGCGGTTAGGCGGGTGGGGACCAGCATGGGGGTAGCGTGAGGAGTGATGGCGGCGCCCACAGCTCCTGCAGGATAGGAGAAAGTCTGTCCAGGCCTGAGGGTGGAGACCCTGTCTGCTCTGCTCCTCACCCAGACAAGTGACTCCGAATGGTGTCTCCTGTCTTCGGGTGACTCGTCAAGGTTTACCTCAAGGTTTACCTCTGCCTGGGGAGTGTCGACAGGTACACCTCAATTACCCCTCACTACGGACTCTGGACCTGTTTTCCCTTGTGCAAAGGTGAGCAGCTGGCCTGTAATTCAAGCCCTGGAAAGGAATGGGAGGTGGGGGGTTACTAGTTAAGAGGCCAGCCTGAGCTACACAGTTAAGAGCCTGTCTTAAAAACGCCACACTGAGGGGCTAGAGAGATGGCTTAACCGTAAGAGCACTTGATCTTGGGGAAGACCCCAATTCCTAGCACCCACATGGTGTGAGGAAGGACTCTGCTACCTTTTCTTACCTCCATGGCACCAGGCATGCATATGGTGCCTATCTTAGGGTTTCAGTAATGTCGGTGGCACCCTTAACCCTTTCCTCCACACGGGGGTCGGTGTTGTTGAGCCTAGGCCTCTGCTTTGGCCTCCACAGTAGCTTGGATTATGGGCGAGTGGGGTTCCTGGCAGCCCAAGCACAAAGCTAGCAGCCTGTGGAGCAGCAGAGGCTTCTGGACCCTGGAGCTACAGCAACTGTCCTGCTCTGAGGGTTTCAGAGTGGGAGCGTAGGGAAGGAGGCGGCTTTGGCTCTAACTTCCTCCTTCCCCTCACCCCACGGGCACTGCGCTCGCCCTCCTGGTAGTCTCGAATTCACCCAGATCCAAGATACCAGCGCCTAAAGAGCTGGTATCGCTTTCCTCATGTGTAAGGCCAAGCTGGTGGGAAGCCAGAGCAGGTGACAGTGGGCATCTCACCCCACCTCAGGTCCCTCCGGCTCACTGCTGTGCACCCTTCTAGGACACGGGCGGGGGGGGGGGGAGGTCTCCGTTTCTTTGCCCTGGTGCCAAGGGTGTTAAGCAGTGCCGTTCTGCCCCTCAAGAAAAGGATGCTTGCCTTTCAACTGGTCTGCACAGTGCTGGGGTCGCCCGCCCCTGGGTCCCTCCCCTTCTCAGCTGGAGAAAGGCATCCTCAGGGGCCCACTGGGAATTTGTTGCTTCAGTTTATAGAAGCGTTTCTGGTCAACACTTAGAGTGGACAGGGAAGGCAAGATGCTGAGGGACCCCCCTGTTGGGACAGCTGTATGCCTGAGGTTCCTCCTACATGCTTGAGGCCACATGTTTGAATGGAAATGATGATATGGTAAGGCTTGGTTTAGTCTCTCTTGGAGCTTCCACGAACAGAGGCCCAGCTCCTATAAACAACATTATCTTCATCCACCCACATCCTAGCAGCTGGCTGCACTTGGTATGTAGGGACCGTTTTTTGCTTCCCGTCAGACAAGCACTGTACTGGCCTGTGACTACCATCAATGCTGTGGTGGCCCCTGAGACCCTGACCAGGAAATCTGGGGATGCGGTAAGGGGCCAAGCTGGGCCCCCACTCAGTTGTCAGTCCAGAACTTATTTCACTGTGCATCCTAGTTTAGCATCCAGACACCTGGGTCACAACAGCCAAGCACTGGCTTCTTTGTTAACAGGATGCCCGAGGGACCCATGCCCATACAGTGGGCTGTGACAAGAGGTACAATAATAGCCAGGGTGTAGCCCAATGGCCCACCATTGCCTAGCATTAACAAAGGGTGCCGTGGGTGCTATGAAGCTTGAGGAATCTTCAGAGAGCTTTGTATCAGATCCTCCCCTCCTCCCCAAACATGGGAGCTGCAAATGCAACCCCAAGGAATGGCATCCTAGTGGTCAGGGTCACCTGGTCCGGAACCTTGAAGCCTTAGGGTCTTGGGTTCCTGATGGCAGGATATGCCACGGATTCCATTCCAGAGACCAGCCTAAACAGCTTCTAGTGCCAGCTGCTCACCACAGAGCCATTTGAGGAATTAGATGCGAACACACAGTTTTGTAAGCTTACAGCGAGCAAGATCTGCAGGGGCAAAGGCCCATGTGGGTGGCTCTGCCAGTAGTCCAGTTTCCAGCCCTAAACCATGTGGTCCCACTCAACACTGTTTTTTTCAAGATAGGGTTTCTCTGTAGCTTTGGAGCCTGTCCTGGAACTCAACTCTGTAGACCGGGCTGGCCTTGAACTCACAGAGATCCACCTGCCTCTGCCTCCCGAGTGCTGGGATCAAAAGTGTGCGCCACCAGATCGGCTCCACTCAACATTGATTAATCTGATGAATAGAGGGTGTGGTCAAACTCCTTTACCTTGTTCCAGCCCGGGCAACAAAGTACTGCACCATCCTGAGCCTTAGGCCTGAGAAGGATTAGCACATTTTATAGGCTCTATCATCCATTGGACCAGAATGACCTGTGACCTTTAGTGTCACTGTCAATCATTTAAGGGCCAAAATGGTAACTTCTCCAGTAATGTAAACAGACATTCTGTGGTCACCAACCCCCACAAACATAGAAGTTGAAGACATACAGCATTTGGCTCCAGAGCCATTCATCAACTTGACATGGCTCTGTGTGTGTGTGTGTGTGTGTTTGTGTACTGGATCTCCTGGAACTAGAAAACAGATGGTTGAGGGCCACCATGTGGTTATTGGGGACTGAAATCAGGTCCTTTGCAAAAGCCGTCTCTCTGGCCCAAAGTTTCTATCTTTGAGTCAGGGTCTCACTGTATAGCCCAGGTTGGCCTCGAACCAGTGATCCTCCTCCCTCTGCTTTCTGAGTGCCAGGATTACAGGCATGCACCTCGACCTCCAGGCCAGACTCTAACCATATGCCAGGGAAGCAAGGGCTGTGCGTACTTCCAGGAGGGTGGCCCAAGAGATATCAGTGTACCAGGGTCATGCCTCAGGACTTTTGGAGCATAAGGAGTTTCCATGAGAGTCCAGGCGGGAAAGGAAGCCCACGGGGAGGTAAGGTGGCATGGCCAAGCAAGCCTCACTTGGAGGCCCCATCAGCCAGTGCTGACCCACACACACCCTCTGAGGTGGTGAGGATGAAAATGGCCCCCTTAGGCTCAGGGAGAGGCACTATTAGGAGGTGTGGTCCTTTTAGAGTAGGTGTGGCCTTGTTGAAGTGTTACTGGAGATGGCCTTCGAGGTTTTAAATGCTCAAGCCAGGCCTAGTGTCTCTCTTTTCCTACTGCCTGTGATTCAGGGTGTAGATAGAACTCTCGGCTCCTTCTCTAGCACCACATCTGCCTGCACACTGCCATCCCCCACATCTGCCTGCACACTGCCATCCCCCACATCTGCCTGCACACTGCCATCCCCCACATCTGCCTGCACACTGCCATCCCCCACATCTGCCTGCACACTGCCATCCCCCACATCTGCCTGCACACTGCCATCCCCACATCTGCCTGCACACTGCCATCCCCACATCTGCCTGCACACTGCCATCCCCACATCTGCCTGCACACTGCCATCCCCACATCTGCCTGCACACTGCCATCCCCACATCTGCCTGCACACTGCCATCCCCCACATCTGCCTGCACACTGCCATCCCCACATCTGCCTGCACACTGCCATCCCCACATCTGCCTGCACACTGCCATCCCTCCCACATCTGCCTGCACACTGCCATCCCTCCCACATCTGCCTGCACACTGCCATCCCCACATCTGCCTGCACACTGCCATCCCCACATCTGCCTGCACACTGCCATCCCTCCCACATCTGCCTGCACACTGCCATCCCCACATCTGCCTGCACACTGCCATCCCCACATCTGCCTGCACACTGCCATCCCCACATCTGCCTGCACACTGCCATCCCCACATCTGCCTGCACACTGCCATCCCCACATCTGCCTGCACACTGCCATCCCCCACATCTGCCTGCACACTGCCATCCCTCCCACAATGAACCGAACCTCTGAACTGTAAGCCGTCACCCCAATGGAATGCTTTCCTTTATACTTTATAAGAGCTGCTATGGTCCCTTCACAGCAATCGAAACTGAGACACTAACCACAGCTGTACACAGCTATTCCTCAGTGGGTCAGTGATTATTCAGGAATGTGGCCGGGATTTCCAAAGTGTGAAAAGGAGGAGCTGGAGAGCTGGCTCAGTGAGGGCTGCTTGTGCCGAGTACCTGGGTTCAGTTCCCAGCACCCACATGGTGGCTTACAGCCATCTGTGACTCCAATCCCAGGGATCCAATACCTTCTGGCCTCTGCAAGTACCAGGCAGGCATGTACATGGTGCAGACATACATGCAGGCAAAACAGTTACACTCACAGAATGACAAATCTTTTGCCTCTGCCTCCTGGGTGCTGGGATCAAAGGTGTGTGCCGCCACCACCTATCCAAATTAAATCTTTAAAAAAAGTTTTTGAGGGTCTTTGGGGTGCAGCTGTCAGTGAGTTCTTGCCCATCACAGAGGAAATACTGGGTTCTATCGTCAATAGTCTAGGCAGGGACACACACCTGTAATGTTGGCACTTAGGAGCTGGCAAGCAAGGTCATAAGAGCTTAAGGCCAGCTTGAGACACACAGGACCCTGTGTGGTATAAGAAAGAAAAAACATACTCTGTCTCCAAAATGGACACGAACAAAAAGCCGGTCTGCAGATGCTACATTGAGTCCTGAGAGAGACTTAGCAGATGTCATTAGTCACAAACAAACAAGCAAGCAAGCAAGCAAACTACGTAGTAAATTTTATTTTAAAAGTCCCATTTCATTAAACATACATCTTTTCTTTCAGAATCCCAATTTAAAAAACCTTTATCTATTAAAAAAAAAACCCACATAAATCAAACAAAGCAAGGTACCAGAACAGGAATACTAGTGATGCAGTGATGCTAAAGGAGGCAATGGTGGCGGCTAAGGGAGCTGTTGAGAGGACAGAAGTCAGGGGGGTAAGCAGACAAACAGGACCAGAAGAGGCTGCCTGCTCTCCCTGCCACGGGAAAACAAAGAGCAAACTCCGCTAAAGACCTCACTATGTTTATAGGAGCATGTGTGCACCTCCCCTGGCTCTCCCAGCATCGGGGCCTTTACAAGACACACGTGTTCTTCACCAGCTGTTCCTTATCATCCCCGGTGCTCCAGACAGTGCGGAGAGCACGCTCCTGCTTCCTGCGTGCCACACGGACCAGGCAGACCACAGAAGTCCCCAGGAGGAGGATCAGGGCCATCACGAACAGCCCCACCAGGACCACCGCTAGGAGTAAGAGGGGACAGGTAAGATGAGGGGACATGGACAGAGGGGCAGCAGGGTGACCCAAGAGGACTCCAGAGAGGACCAGATGTCCTCCTCAACCTGAGACTCTGGAGGGACTGCCTGCCAGCGTGGTTCCCTGCAATGCCTCGTGTACAGAATGGCTCTTGTACTTGATAATTCTGTTTGTGTGTGTTTGCCAGCATGGATTCCCTTAACTAATGTTACTAATGGTTTGAGCCACCATTTGAGTGCTAGGGATGGAACCTGGGTTGTCACATCTGGAAGCGAGTGCCCTTGCCTGCTGAGCCATCTCACCAGCCCTATTTTGGTTATCCGAGACAAGGTCTCAAGGGCCCAGGATGACCTTAAACTTCCTGTGTGCCTGAGTCTGGCCTCGAACTCCTGAATGGCAACAGATGAGCCCCTGCAGGTGCCTGAGCAATGAAGCCTGGCAGGTGAGGGTGTACCCAGCAGTACTGGGAGGGACCTCAGGGCTCCTAATTGCAGGTGAGTAATAGCAGCTGCCCCACAGGTCAGTTAAGATGCTTCCTTTCCAGGTGGAGCTCCATCTCAGGCATGTGACTTCCTGTGACATTTACCTGGCTCCCCTCCTGCACTGGCTATTGGATCTATCTGCCTTTTGGAGCAATCCCCTGCCAAACTCCACCCACAACCAGCCCAAGACCTGGGCACCTTTCCAGCCCCAGCCTTGAGAACCAGATTCTACTTCTAGAACTAGGCAGACTTGTAAGCCAGGTCTTGGCTCCTCAACAAGGAAAAAGATCAGGAAAGAGGCCAAGCCAGTCCGCCAGGTCCATAAGAGCACTCACTGCCCACACACAGGCTCAGAAACAGAAGTGGGAGAGAGCACAGGGTCTCCTCACCAGGCCAGACTGCTTCTTGACACCCCTGACCACCTCACCATGCCCCATGGCAGTTAAGTCCCCCCCAAACTTGAGGTAACCCTCAGGCTTGTGTGTGGACTCTATAGGGTAGGCCTGTCTGCCAGGCACACCTTGTGGTCCAAACAAGCTGCCTAGGGGTTCAGGCTCAGCCTCCACTTGTATAGGGTTCACTATAGGACAACTGTCCAAAGTTCCAAGCTGCCTAGCCACTTCCATATAGACACAGCACTCTGCCACAAGGACATTCCATCATGGAATATTATAAGCAGGGCAGAAAATATAGCTGGCTGCGAGTTCGAGAGCTAGTTCCAGGACAGTCTCAAAACCACAGAGAAACCCTGTCTAGAAAAACAAAAAACAAAAAACAAAAAACAAAAAAAAAAAAAAGAAGAAGAAGGAGGAAGGAAGGAAACATGGCTGGCGAGGCCAGTGGCAGGGAGAGAAGGCTAAGAGGCCATTTACCTTTTATCCCAGGGGTCAGAACAGGATACGTCTGTTTGCCTAAAGAGAACACAAATCTGAGGTCAGCACACCATGCTCTCCATCCTCAGGGACAAAAGTGGGTCCCCTCAGCGTCCTGCACACTGAGGCCTCCCAGGAGCTCTTTCGGGGAGGGACGGGGTCAGGTGACTTGCCAGAGCAACGCTGCATGCAGGCCTCCTTGGAGAGGTAGCTGTTCTTGTTGCCTCGGCACCCACCATAGATGAAGCTGTCACAGGAACCCTTCTCGGTATCGTAGTGCCAGCGAGGGAAGGCTGCGCGGCAAGGCCCAGTGACGGCCTTGGGGACACAGTATTCTGGAAGCAAGAGTAAGGAAGCTTCAGGAGGACAAATCAGCAAGGCCATGAGAAGCGGAGCCAAGGCTAGAACGCCTAAACAGACAGCTCAGCAGGATTGCCACCTGCACGAAGAAAGGCCTGTGGGTCAGATGCCAGTGTGGCCCAGTGACACTGGCTGGACACTTTATCTGTTTGGTGTGTGTGTGTGTGTGTGTGTGTGTGTGTGTGTGTGTGTGTGTGTGTGTGTGTGTGTGCGCGCGCGTGCTCTGTCCTGAGACCTTCACTTTACACACGGGAATTACATACAGGAAGCATCTCCTATGCACAGCACAGAGCTGTTAGAATTAACGTGTAGGGTGTGGGTTAGTTCTAGAAGCACAGAGTCTGCTGCCTTCGCTCTGCTGGAACACTGATGCTTTGATACCCGCTGTCCCAATCCCAGTTCTAGAGTACAACTACCTGGCAGGTCTGGAGGCCCTGCTTACCACTTCCTCCTAGCGAGTCTCAATGCCAGACACACAAGGACACAGTCTGGAAGTTATACCTTCATAGTTGAAGATCTCTCCAGAGAGGTCCTCAGCACCCTGCTTCCTGGGAGCTGCAACATGAGAAGTCTGGTTAGGAGGGACACAGGACAATTGGCCTAGCAGGGCTGAGTGTAAAGGGCCCATGGGGGCAGCATAGGCAGGGTCACCATTAAAGGGGTGGACATATCCCTTGGACCCGATGTCCTCTGGAGCACAGGACACACTGGACGCACACTGGAGGTAGGAGGGACTCCTGCCACTGCAGTGGTTACCATGGAAACTAACCTCAGCCATGTTTCTGAGGTGACACACCCAGAGACTTTACTGGTGAAATTTCCTTCAGAGATAGGCTGGAAATAAGGGTTACCATGCAGGGTCCTAAACAGCCAACAAGGGCCTGGAAGGACGGGAGTGCTCTAGCCTGACCATGGCTTCCTGTAAGCCTGTGGGGCACCGGCAGGCACCAAACTCCCACATGTGCTGTCAGAGATGGAGGACCCGGGCCCCAACTGTGGTGCATGGGACTGGCCTCTGGGAGGGAGGGGGTTGTCTCCATCAGGGTACAGAGTTCCCTCCCCCTGTGGAAGGGCAGGTATGCTGGCCCTCCTGGGCCCCTAGCCTGGGCCCTAACCCCAAGGGTACAATCGCTAGTAGGGACCACTCACCCAGGCTCCTGCCGCAGAGTCCCTTAAGCATAAAAGAGGAGCAGGGCGGCTACCGCCAGCACTACAAAGCAAACTAACACAAAGCTCTAGATGAAGGGCAGCAGAGGACAGAGGGGTGGGTGGCAGAGGGCAAGGGACTTCTAGCAGCGGGGAGACAGCAACCCCAGGGGGGAGCAGAGGACTCAACACACAGGCTCAGCCTGGAAGGCAGGGCCTGAGCCTCACACAGCCAGGTGGCCGGGCAAGCAGAAGCCCTCAGCCCAACCCGTGCCTGGCTGGAACACTGGAGGCACAGGCAGAAGCACTTTACAATTCCCAGTGACAAGTGTCCCTTCAGTCACCCGGGTTTCCTTCATTCCGCCTGGGTCTTAGGCACCTACCACTCAGGACAGAAGAGTCGGCTCCATTCCCGTTCCTGGCCACGCCATCAATGGTGCTCTCTGTGAGGGACAAAGAACAGGAAAGAAAAACACCATCAAGTGTGGCCCTGTGTGCACAACCTGCCCTCAGCTCCCTTCCCGGGAGCCCTGGGCTGCGTGAGAACTGGCACTGTCCAAGGAGTTAGCAAGACTTACACAGTCAGGGGTCCAGGGCCACGTACCCTGCTGAGCCCATCTATACGCACACTCTCTCTGGAAGTCGAGTTGGGGTTATGACGTTTTTAACATAGATCTTTAAAGTCTTTTAGCTATACTTAAAATTACGTGGTGTGCATGCGTGCATGTCTATGCCATGGAGCACACGCGAAGGAGCCAGTTCTCTCCTTGACCTGCTGGTTCCTGGATCTAACTCAGGTCTCCAGGCCTGGCCTCTACCCCCTGAGCCATCTCACTGCCCCCATTTGAACACAGACCTTAAGCAAACAGAGATGAATGGAGATGCTTGGGGAAAGGGTTAGACACACCTGGGAGTGGGCGTGCCTTTCTCACATAGAGCTGCCTCTACATTATTGGGTAGGGGCACTTTTCTTTTAAATGTTAAAAAAAAAATGTGTGCATGCCTGAATGAGCATCACTTTAGAGTTTCCACCTGCCTACAGATGCCAGAGAAAGCCAAAAAGGGTTGGATTTAGGAACTGGGATTATAGGCAGTTGTGAGCTGCCTGGTGTGGGCGCTGAGAACTGAACCCTGGTCCTCTGTAAGAGCAGTAAATGTTCTTAACACTAAGATCTCTCCAGCTCCTTATTTTGATTTTTTGAGGCAGGTTATCACTCTGTCACTCCAACTGACCCCAGACTTGGAGAAATCTTCCTACACCCAGTTTGTATTTTATTTATCCAGAATTCTTAAAGGCACAGAACAGTGCAATGTATTTAATACTGCTGAACCCTCCACACACACTTAGAATGGTAGAGAAGACATCCTAGGCATGGAAACAGACCTGTAGTCCCACCTACTTAGCAGGCTGAACAAGACAGTCAAAGAGCTAGCCTAGCAATACAGAGAGGCCTTGTCCCAATTGGGGGGGGAACAACAAACTTCAAAACAGCCACTTTTTCTTATGTGGTGTGTGGATGTTCCTTTTTTGGACAGAAGACCTTGCTACATTGCCCACCCTGGTCTCTTAACTCCTGGAATCCACCTGCCTTAGCCTCTCAATTTTACAGCTGGGTAACATGAGGTAGTTTTTGTCTCTAGATGGAAATGCCTAGAGCTGGCCTGGCCTGATGTCATCCAGCAGTTACCTAGTCAGCCAGCTCCCCTCAATCTGCCTCATCAGGGCACTGTAGACTGAATTCAGGCACAGGCACAGTCTGGTCCCCTGGGAGGTTCTAGTTCCTATTACAGGTTAATAAACCGGCACACATCCGCAACAGAACTGGCAAAGGACTCCAGAGACCAGTCTCTTTGGCACTTTTCCGCTTGCCTTACAGATTCCTTCCCATGAGGCTGCCAAGAGACCAAATGCCCACCAAGAGCTGTCCAGGCCCTTGCAGCTGGGATCGGGTTCTGGACCATGTCCAAGGGAATAGTGAGTGCCTTGTGCCCACAGCCTCCTGCTCATGCTCACTTCAACCCTCTTTCTAAGATGGTCACAACACGCCAAAGGGGAGCAATCAACATTCCCCAACTCTTCCCCCTACAGCGAAGAGGAAAACACACGAAAATGACATTTTCTGCACTCAGTTTCTAGATGAACCAGTAATCACCCAAAAGGTGAAGGATTGGTCTGCACCCTCTAAAATCACACCCTAGCTAGGCATGGTGGCAGGCACCTATAAACTAAGCACCCGAGAGGCAGAAACAGTAAGATAAAGAGTTGAGACTTGCTTGGATGATACGCTAAAACCACATGTCAAAACTCTAAAATCAGTTCCAGTTCCCCATCTCTCCAATTCCCCAAACAAGCAAACTGTCTTTCCCCATGCTCGCTTGGCTTGTGCACTGTGCCCACTGCAGTAGATCTGAGGCCACTGCCCATGTCTTCACATCACCTCAAGATGTTGATCTGACTTCTGAATGCATAGCTCAAAGCCGAGAAGGGGGGGGGGGAGAGAGGGAGAGGGGGGCCAGCAAACCACAAACATCACTGTTTGTGGGGGACTGACTGTGAAATACTGGGGCTCAACGTAGAGACTCATTACAGTTTCAGGTCACCAGGCAAATCTGCACGCTAGGAAAGGCTGCGCAAAATCTTTGTGGGCAGCTAGGCCCTCGACTTGGGGACAGCAGGGAGAGATCAGGGGCTGCTGGGGCTTCAGGTTTTATTTGACCTGTAAGGGTCAATGCTGTCTTGGCTTCCCAGAGTCTCATAAGATTTCAGGGCGCATACCCCAGCTAACTTCTGACATGGCTTTGTGAGCTTTTCAGGTCTCAAAGGTTAAAAAAAAAAAAAGCCCTAATACCTGGAGAACAAGGGCCTGTGGCAGTGGGCGAGGAGGCCAGGTGGTAGCTGGGCTCTTTCCAGTAGGAAGTGGAAAGCCTGGTTTGGATCCCACCCAATTCCAGGTTCTGGACCAAGTGAAGACCCGCAGACAGAAGATGTCACCATCCTAGCGATGAACCCTAAACATCGCATTTTCCAAGCTCCAGCCTTACCAGTGACACCAGCACACTTCCCAAGACAATCCTCCTCGCTCTGGTAGTTATTGCCATTTCCTTCACAGCCTCCATACACAAACGGCTGGCAGGACCCAGCAGTGACATTGTACCACCACCTGGGGATGGAAGCCCGGCATTTCCCCACTACCTTCGAAACTCCACAAGACTCTGAAACAAAACAGAACCCATGTGGATTGATGGCGGCAGTCCGGGCCCAAAGGGCGCACACTTATTCTACAGGAGGAAGTCTGGGGTCTTCCGGATACTCCAAGGGAAAAGTGGAGTATTCTGGGCCTGTCATTTCTCTTGACCTGGTCCCAAAGCCAGCCCCAATTCTGTCTTCCTCACATGGAAAGAAAGTCCAAGGCACGTGATGCAGCTGCAGCTGCAGGTGGCTTCTGTCCTGGCTCAACAGAGCACAGCTAGACCCATGGCAAGCCCTAGATTCTAGACCCTACACCTCCTACAAAGACAATCATATACAAACATCTACACTCAAACCCAAGAACCTCAGAGACAAGCTTCCTAACTAATTTCTCACCTCTAAAGGGCAACCCAGCTTGTGGGCTTGGGTCCCAGGGAGTCCTAAGGTTTGCTCCACTCCAATCAAAGGGAAAAATACCAACCACAGTATTCCAGTGAGACACATTTGCAGTCTCTGTTAGAGGCTGGTTAGGTTGCTGTGGCCAAGGCAAGAGAAAGGCTGGATCTAAAGGAGTTGTTCTGTTGGAGGGCCTCAAGGATGGAAAACCACCAGAGCCGAGCAGATCCCATGTCTGCCTCTGCAGCGGCACACTGGAGGCCACTCTGATGAGCACCAACTGTCCCGGAGCTGTGCGTGTGCTCACGGGCTGCTCTTGTTCCTCTCCCGCCTGCTTGTGTCAAGTTTATTCCTCCACTGGGGAGAATCTTGGAAAACATACACATACAGGGCAGGTTTATGCTTCTGTTACCGCTCTATGTCTCAAAATGCTACAATGATAGGCATGGACCCAGATGTTCTCAACACGCCAATCTATAGACACAACACATTGCTACTGCGCAAAACAAAACCTTCCCCTCAGCAACTCCCGTACACGCCAATTAATCTCAACTAACTGGCAGAAAAGGAAAATTTCAGGGTCAGTGAGGTGGCTCAGCGGGTAAAAGGACTAGCACGACCCTGATGATCTGGAATCCCCCAGAAGGCTGGATGCAGTGGCACATATCACTCCCAGCCCTCCCCCAGCATGGGCACGGTTAGGGATGCTTGCTGCTACTCCTGGCTTTCATATGGGTGCTGGTCCTCATGCCTGTGACGTGAACCATCTCTCCAGCAAGGCTCATGGCACAGGTCTATAATCCTAACTACCTGGAGCAAGGACCAGAGGGATGGAAAGTTCAAGGCCAGCCTGAGGAATTTAGTAAGATCCTGTTTCAAAACTTAAAAAAACCCAGAAGAGCCACTCAGTGGTAACATACTTGCCTAGTAAGTGGGTTCAAGGCTATCTCAGTAAGAAAAGAAAAAGAACCAGCTGGCATTCACCTGCAACAGATGCTTTTGACAACATGCCAAAGGTCACAACACACATGATGGATCAACAATGCCCAGAGTAAACACACGGAGCAGAATCTTCTGGTTTCGATTTGGCCCAACCTCCACACTGTCAGGTGGCAGTCAACGCTGCTAACAACAACACAAAATGGAGAGCCCCAGGTCCCAGGAGGCTCCCGTTCTGAAAACATGAGGGGACCCAGTGCTAGAGGAGTCAGGCTAAGCCGAGCGTCCTGGAGGCCACCGAGTGCGGTTGTGCTGTTGCTTTCCGTGGCTTTAGGTACAGTGTGCTGGTACACACCCATAATCCCAGCTCATGAGAGGTAGAGGCAGGAGGATCAGGGATTTAAAGCTAATGTCACCCAGCAACACAGTGAATTCAAAGCTAGTATGGCCACAGGAGACTGGAAAAAAACCAAACCAAAACAACAAACCCCTAAAACCAGAACACTGGCAAGATGGTTCAGCACTTACAGCCAAGCTTAGTTCAATCCCTGGAACCTACAGAGCGGGAGAGAATCCACTCCCAAAAGGTGTTCTCCTCTGACCTCGAATGCTGTGGCATGCTTCCGAGACAGCACATATGCACAAATACACACTAAATAGAGGAAACAAACGTAATCTTCACAATGAAGCAGAATCGCAAACAACACCCTCTGCTTCCAAACATGGGCACTGAAGCTTGGAGAGGAGATCTAAAGTCACTGATCTGTTCCGAGCCCAGGTGCCCGGGCAGGGGCTCCTCAGGGCAGCAGGGGCTGAGCCGACACCAACAGGCACAGTGAAAACACAAGGCAGAGCTACCAGGAAGCCAACATTCCTTGGGCCTTTATCACAATCTGAGGCCTCTGCTCTCGGTTGCAGGGTTCGCTTCTGCTCACTGACAGCACATGCCAAGCGCTAGCTAGCAAGGGCTGGAAGGCTCATCATCGAAGCAAGTTATTTCTTAATAAGGGCTTTGACTGTTAAACAAAAAGACCGAGGAAATGATTTGGCTGTGTGTTATGGGGCACACTGTTTGTCCCAGTACTCTGAAGGCAGAGGCAGGCAGCTCTCGAGTTTAAGGCCAGCCTGGTCTACACAGCCAGCCAGTGCCAGACCAGCCAGAGAGACCCTGTCACGGAAAAAGAAACATGACTGGCCTGGGTATCTGCAGGTAAGCACGAAAGGTATGTCCCCTGTTATTTCTCCTTTTCCGTGCTGAGAAAGAGCTCAGGGCCTAGACAAGCACTCTACCTGTGAGCTACACTGTGGCCTCAAGTCCTATTGGCACACTCACACACACCAAAACACAATGTTGTTTGGAACAGGGTCTTTACAAGTGGCCTAAGCTAGCCTCAGCTTCCCAAATGCCAGGATTACAGGCACACCCAACCGAGGCTACAAAACTACTTCTATCAATTCCAAATCCAGTGAGAAAATCGAGGAGGCTGGCCAGACGGTCATCCATTCCTAATTCCAGGACTCAGGAGGCAGAGGCAAGGATCACCTCAGACTGAAGCCTAGCATGGTCTACTCAAACTGAGTTCTAGGCCAGTCAGGGGAACAGAACAAGTGTGTGTGTGTGTGTGTGTGTGTGTGTGTGTGTGTGTGTGTGTATGTGTGTGTGTGTGTGTCTGTCTGTCTGTCTGTCTTTCATACCTCCTACCCCTTCTCCCCATGAAAACCAGAAAGAAGCTGAAGGGAACAAACCTGAATTTGGCAGGCATTCACAGGACATAAGCTGCTGTCCCATTACAGACTGGTGTCTGGGAATGCCATGAAAAGGAAACTGGTTCTTCTGGTTCTCGGGTCATTAGTTTAAACCAAAACAATCTGCCAACAGTTCACATGACTTCACTCCTCTCTGCCAAGTGGAAGGAATTGTTTACTTTTTTTTTTTTTTTTTTTTTTGAGAGAGGGTTTCTGTAGCTTCCCTTCCTGGAACTCTATGTAGACCAGGCTAGTCTCAAACCACAGCCTCCCAAGAACTGGGGGCCACCAAGCACCACCCCTGTCACCTTTAACAAGGACATTACACAAAGTTTGGGCTCCAGCATCACCAGTGTGTTTTATAGGCTCCAAAAGACAGACCTTTTTTTTTCCCCAAATATTGCAGCTGCAATGCAAGTTCCCTTTAGGAACATACCAAATATCCTAGAGGGACATGGAACACTCTAACACCGGTGTATCGTGTATCGCTTCTACGCTTTATCACTCAATCTGGGGCCTCACATGTGGTAGGCAATTCTGCCACAGAGCAATGTCCCCAAGCCTTTCTTCCCATCTGCCCCTCCCAGTGAAGTAACAACCATCTGGGTCTCCGTGCTTTCTTTTTCGATGAAACGGTTTTATGTAACTAGAGTTGGTCTTGAGCTTGCTCTGTGTAGCTGTGGGTGGCTCTGAAGGAGGGTTCTCTTGTCTACTCCCCTCCACCAGGGCTGGGATTCACCACTACTCCCAGCCCTTTCCTTTTTTGAGGCAGCGTCTCACACAGAACCCGGGGCTGGCTTTGAACTCAAGCCTCAACCTCCTAAGTGCTGAGACTACACTTGTGTACGCCTCCACCTACTCCAAACACCAGACTTCTTTCATTCTGTCCCTACGGCCATTCAGTCTGCTCTTGAAAGACGTGTGCAGCCAGGAACCGGAACCTGGGGTGTGTGAGGCAAAAGCTCTACCACTGAGCTACACCCCAGCTTCCAAACTTACTTTTTTATTTATTTTTGGTTTTCTGAGACAGGGTTTCTCTGTGTAGCTTTAGAGTCTGTCCTCGAACTAGCTCTTGTAGACCAGGCTGGCCTCGAACTCACAGAGATCTGCCTGCCTCTGCCTCCAGAGCACAGGGATTAAAGGTGTGCGCCACCACTGCCCTGCTCAAATTTACTTTTAAAACACAGAACAATTCATTTCTTAGGGTTCTACCGCTTGACCCCATTCTGACAGTTGCTACACAGCCAAACTTCTCAAAACAAAACAGATTTTCCAAACAGACTGGCAGATCACAGATGTGCATGAGTGCAGCCCACTTAAACACACCTGAGGGGACTGTGGACTCACCCTCATGATCCACATACACAGCCACCTGAAGCTCGGCCCCGCCCATCCGTTTCTCCAGAACAAAGATTAATATATATTTCTTGTTAGGGTCTCGTGGCAAACAGGGAACAACTGCCTCGGGTTGTTGTGGGGTCATGAAAAGCAATCATACACATGTCATCTTTAATATTTGTTACATCGCCACAATTGTACCCCAGCACTCAGGACATAGGGAGGCCAGTCTGCACCCACAGTGAGCACCTGTCTCAAAATAAAACAAGTTATCAAAACAAACAGTGTGGTCATAGATATAAAACAGATATTTACATAGATAGCATATTCCATTTTGTGTGAGACAGTGCCTTGCTGAGTAGCCTCGCTAACCCTGGCCGTACTATGCAGACCAGGCTGGCCTGGAACTCACGGACATTACCCTACATCCAGCTGCTTCTTATTAACATTGCGAATGAAGTGTATTCCTTCCCCCACATAACAGAACTTCTGGTACTCTCGCCATACTTCCGACGCATGGCACAGGCCTCCTCACTTGGCCTTTTCCAAGTCTAGAACCACTTTTAATATTTTAACCTTTTCTCCTGCAGTGTCCAGAACTTGA